AACTGAAGTGTACAAACTTGTTGAAAGTGGTATTTTTACTATTGTTGTACTAGTAAGCTAGCGACAATCTAAAATCAAACAAACGACAAAAAAAAAAAAAAACAGGAACTGCCGCGGGCATTTCTTTGTTACCTTTTGTAATCAGAACTACGAACAATGATGATGATGATGATGATTATTTACCCCCTAGTTTAGTCCCTAGTTCTATGAAAAGCACGCACTAAATAGTTACATAATACTTGTCGATGATACTCTAACTTTTGCAGCTGGGAAATATCTTTGGGCATGCAACTAAACTGGACTGACTAAACTATATCAAATACAGTATGTATATCTGAATGAATAAAAATCCTTTCGCCCCACCAAAATGCCCTGTTAGAGATTGAAGAAGCGTGGAACAGGCGGTCGGACGTTTGGAAACTATCGTCGGAGCTAAATGAAAATTAGTGTTCGCATCCCTTGAATAATGGAGAAACAATGAAAACGAACAGAAGTGTTTGTATAGGAAGGAAGTAGTGTATAGGAATGTTCGTATAGGAAGCGTCGTTTGCCCTTATAATACTTTCCTGTCCGTCTTTTTACCTTTGTTATTAGTATAATTGTTCTATTACGGAGCTAGCCTATGAGAAATATTAGAAGAACGATATAATTTAGTAATCAAAATCTGTGACCTTTCTGCGACGAGGTACGACATCGTATTGTATTCAATTAAAAAACACTAAACATTAAAAACATATTGTACCGTTAACGACCCGTAAATCTTTATCTAGTACATAGATATTCGTGCTAGTATAACGACAACGAAGAAGGGAGAGGAACGCTGTCTACTACTCTATGCAGCAGCATTAGAAAAAAAAATAAAAATCACTCTGTTGTTGATTGATGAGGCAGTGTTCGAATGTTGTACGCTGATATAAGGAAATACAGAAGCAATGTAAATCTACAAGAGTTTCCATAGAAACAATTCTAATAGAATATCTGAAAAGCCAATACGAAGTGCGGGTCAAGCCAGTCTGAGTCTGTTATCACCAGTTGTCACCTAAGGAAAGCTCTACGATTCTTGAACATGGCTTGTTATTTTAGGCCAACCTAGTAGTTAGCCTATATGTGCAATATGCTCTATATTACGAATTGGTCAATGTAAAAGCTTTACGCAATCTCTTATTCTTGACCACGGTAAAACTCCATGTAGAGGCTAACTTTGCAAGAGAGTCTGCCTATGAAACGAGTAAAGCACGTACATACGTATCTCCCAACTTTCAAAGTTTACCATCATTACCGAACTTGCCTTGCGAGAAAAATTTTTCTTAACTTGTTGGGCTGATTTTACAAAGTGTTAGATGCATTCTGAAGCGATGGGAAATACAGCGTTTCTTTTCGGACAGAGTTTCTATGGTAAACATCCAGCAAGTAGTTATATGTGGAACCATGTTGACGTAATATAGAGATATTACGATGGCTTCTTTTCATCTATTTAATGCGTTTTCAGATTACTGTTTATCGGCCTGATAACTTTACATTAAGGGCACATTTAATACTCCGTCTATATGAAACAATGAGAATAAAAGTCGAATCTGCATCTAAATATTTGAAGTTAAAATTTTAAAAGGTCCAGTGGTCAAAAATGCGTAAGGTAGGTAAAATAGTAAAAAAGGTCTAAACTCAAGATATGATCACAAACTTACCTGCTGCTTTTTTAACACATACATACATACATACATACATACATACATCTATCGATAATGTGTTTTTGTTTATGGACCTATATGAAATCATGCGGCGGTTTGTACGCTGGAACGTTATTCTTTTACTTCTACCTCAGCACTAAAATCTCGAATTGGTCCGGTTTCCCGTGCAATACAAGTTATAGCCGTTTTTATTGAACTCATCTACGACCGACGCACGCCGCTGTAGATACCGGCAAACTCATTGATTTTAAACAAATATATGTATATTGTTAGGCATCGTATTTAGCTATGTGGTCCAGGCTGAAGGATAAATGTTATTTGAATTGAGTTTGAACACTATGTTAGATTTAGGACGAACAATACTAGCTCGTCTAGCCTTCTCCGTGCGCGCTAGGCACTGCAGGCAGAATCTGTATATGGGCATCTGAAAGCTTTCACGTAAATACAACTAGTCGACAAACGGACTAATTCCCTTGCGTGAACAAAGACCTACAGTTACTTGGCCATTGCTCCTCAAATGGAAAGCGAAAATAATCAGTGTTTTGATCAGCTCTTCTTCGCATCCCGCCAGATCCGTAATCGTACAGCCCCTTCCTTCGACTGAGTCCGTAGCGAGATTTCCACTTCTAATATGGCGTTAATGTTTGTTGAGCCCTTTCAGAGCCAGAGATTTATTAACGAACAATGGTTGAACAGGATGTATATATATATATATATATATAAAATGGATATGTCTGGTGCAGTTAGCGTCGTCAAAGGTTCAACTTAAATAGAGTAAAGGCGTAGTGTGACGCCGAGATTGACACAAGCAATAATAATATTCCGCTAGATGTCGTTTTCATTTTTTTTTTTTTTTTCTTTGCCTGTAGATTAGCATTAAAGTATGTCTTAATAGAATTCGAAATAATATAGGCGGGCATGAACAGTTGGGGAATAGCTCACGTGCGTGTTAAGCAGGGATGAAGGAACTGTGTATTCGAGCCGTTCAAGAAGCCGTTCCTGAACAGCTCTACCCGTTTATGATCAGCGGTTAAATATTGGCGCCTTGGAGTTTGTATACGTTTTTCATATTAAAAGTTAAGTAATACTAGTAGGGGATTCAGTTTCGACACGTCCTCTAAGAAACGTGTAACTTTTGAAGATAGGAGAGAAATATATGGCATAGATTAACTCAAAGACTAGAAGTTGTCAATTCTAAATCTAACTGAGCGTAAGAGATACCTGCAGAACGTGCTGTAGTGACATATTGTTGAGTGATGAGAATAGAAACAATGAGTTTCGTCACTCAGAAAAATCTGCAGCTTTACGTCACTTGTAATGGGAAGTATGACGATTTAAAGACGACGTAAATAAGTGCTTACCGACCTAGAAGAAAATTGTTTTCAGTAGATGAGATTTTATCATTACTTAAATTGTACCTTACAGTCCAAATCTAAATTGCCTGAGTGAGCGATAAGAATACGTTTAAGCAATTGTTTTTAATGGCGAGCAGTTTACTTCGGGATCATCATGTCTACTACAATTTAAAGGGAGTTTTGTTAGTGTGAGTGTTATACTTTACAACGATAATCGTGAAACTCACAGTTCTAGATGCGTTGTCAATTTGTTGTTGTTGTTGTTGTTGTTGTTGTTGTCAACAGCTTCTTCAACCGCTGATCTGAACAAACTCCTCCAAAACAGATAACACTTCTAAGTACTTGCCGCGGCAGTGTTATAGGGCTTGGTCAGCTTCCTCTATTCCCCGTGCTACTTCGGTACTGTTTTTTCATAGTTACACAGTCTATCGATGGTACTTCTCGATACCGTTGTCCTGGGGAGTCCGACACGGTAAAATGTGCTAGTAGACAATAGTTCTGACTATTGTGTCCTTTCAACATATGCTCCGTGTGTATCTTTAAGCAATCGTAAAGCTGCACAATGAATTGTAGATGACTTGCCCTTCCTCTGTTGTCGTATGCCTTCTCTGAGTTAGTGAAGTGTTATTATGATTTTACATTTAATAAGCAAAGTCTTTTAGGTGACAAATATATCTATATTTTTCTCATAAAAAAAAAAATGGTCAATTTACACAAATTATACTCACTAGTCGATACTGCGGTGAACCTACCGCGGTGAAGCAAAACGTTTCAAAGTATATACGCCAAGCTTTATATGAACTGAATTGTGTGACGGTTTCGTTTATACTACCCCGGTCACACAGTCCATTTACCATATCATCTTTTCCTCATCATCCATATCATCTTTTAGATAGTTGCAATCCATATATATATATATATAACGTATATATATATATATATAGCAGTATATTCGACTGCCATAGTCCGCTAAACGCCCCGCCAGTCCATCTACGATATTAAAGAGAGCTCAACAAATAGAAATATAAACAACCTTTATTTTTGTAATCAAGTTAAACCTCTTGTAGGTAACCTCATAGATGTTTTTTTTTTTTCTACCTAATTAAGGAGCTAAAAACACGTAACGTAATAATGATAGTTTTTTTTTAAGAAGGTTATTCAAATTTCTGTGGGCGGATCTGCATTGGCTCCATAATGAAATCGAAGTGCCTAAAAAACAAATGACCGAATAAAATGATCAGCCGACCATTAATTCCATTTGCAATGATAATGTAATTATAACAATATGCCTGCAGTTCTATCTAATCAACATCTTTTCCGCGTTGAAGTTAACGACAATCTACACCGTTACCGTTAAGCCGTTTATTGTTTTGCATATACTACAACGTTATTTTATATGTAGCCTTCAACCTTTCTTTCTGTCTAGCTTAATTGTAGTTCGTTTACTTCATTTAGCAATATTCATATATATTTCTACGAGAAATAAGACGATACACAATGCATTATTATTGTATGCATCCTCATCATCTTTGCATATATGGATGGTCAACGTTGGCTTTTTGCTAGTAGACTTTCTTTTTTCGGGCGATTCCTTTCAAAAAGCTCGTCACCGCTTTCATAAGCATTAACATTGCCACCGACTCAAAATGTAGTCAGCCCCCTTTTTGATGCCCTTTGTCACCACTGTCTGCATTGAACGCGTTGCCCAATCCACCCCCGTCTTACTTTGCCCCATGGCTGTTTCTGGCCGCTAGACAAACCGTACGCTGCACCCAAACTTCAAACTCTTCCGTACTTGCAAGTTTTCCAGAGTCTAATGATAAATCCGAAATAGATCCCAGCCTCTGACGGCGCTCATCAGTGCTCGCCGACAGCTAGAACCTTTACTCCAGCCACTTCCTCTATTCATGTCCCACAACGCCCTACACGCATATATATATATGCAACTTTTTTTGACAGAGCGCCCTCTATCATTCAGCCAATCTTCTTCTAGTCGATTTTGCTCTAGCTTGTTCCAATCGACCTTCCGAGAATCGACTAGACCAATTTTGCTAGCCACGTTCCTGTGACTTAAGCCGCACAGAAGCTTCCCGACTCGACTCCACGCACAACCTTCCTTTAACCACCCAGTCTAACTTCAGGGTCGCATCTGTCTGTCTAGACACGGTTCTTAGGAGTGATGCGTCTCGTAGTTCATCTTGCTTAACAGCTTAGTCATAATATATTTATTGACGATGGATTGTCCACAATATTGTAGTGTTTAGAATAAAAACAAAGAGAAAATGACGCTAAGAGGAACGAATCATGTAAGAGACTGACTTGCGTTATAGGAAAATTCGGAAAAAGGAGAGGAGATCATAAATATTGGCTTCGCTGAATTGGCGTCTTGCTTATAGATAATAGTAGGAACAATGGTAACTAACATGACAATAACCCTGATAGTGATAATTATTTTATGGATATTTATATATAGCTAGCTATATAGATATCCATAAAATATAGATATATATATATATATGTATATCTGGTTATCGATAGTGGTTGTGCCGCGCTAGAAAAATAGAATAACTACAGATTAATGGCACTTTTGTGCTTTCGGTTGAGCCGTGTGTGTGTTACCACCAAAGATTAACAACTACCTTGTTTAACACGGCGTTAGGCTGTTATTGAAAGAAAGCGTAGAATAGCGATAACTACTACGAGTAGAATAGTAAAACGGGCAGCTGTGGACCTCTGCGGGAGCATACGAAAACGCAAAGTAGAATTAAAGCGGCGTATTTTAGATCTTTTCTATTTTTGGTGCCGTTGCTGCCATGTTAAATGTGCTGATTTCTTTTAATGAAATCGAAGCTGCAATGTTCCAAGAAAAAAAAATAAGATAATAGGAGTGAAATGATTCGCTCCACGCACTTTGGCTAATTATACAAATTGTTTTTGGTAAAGGTAAAAACGAACAGTGCATATTATAGGTAAATATATAGAACTGACGATGTTGTAGTGTGATGTATTAGTGTTAAGCTTGATTCCGTACCAAAATTGCTATCGTAGACGCTGTAATATTAATCCATGAATTAGCATCGTTTCTTCTATTATTTCTACGTATCGTTCATATAGCCACGAAGATCAGTGTGTGTTCTTCTTACCTTCCTTTTCGCAACGGTTGGACGCGAATCAACTGATGTAATTCCTCTCAGACTTGTCATGCTGTACATATGCTGCTGATTCCCTTTAAGTTCTTTGTTTCGTTGTCTCTTTCGTGTATTTCGCATCATTCGTCTACCCCTCCCTCCCCCCTTTCTATATGTAGGTGTTTATATGTGTGTGGGGTATAAAAGGTTTGTTGTTCTCTACGTGACTCCTGCATGAATCATTTCATTTGCTATCTGACGATCCCCTGAGCGACAGACCAGTATCGCCCACCGCTCAGGCAAAGTGTACAGACTAACCTAGAATTACAGCAGTATTTATCCTACCGCTAATCAATTTTTCCCACAAATTCCTCGGCAAATCATGAATACATAAGGGTATAGTTTATGTGTATCGTTCCTACATATCTTTCGACATCAGTATCTATCATCAGTACTCCTATTGCGCTAACTAATCGAAGATCATTGTTATCGTATTGGCGTGACCGTTACTAGTACGCTCCTTCTCATACGTATGTCGCTATATGTACATTGCATCAACAATTTGTTATTGTTTCCAGACACAGTCGCATTTACAGTTGCTTGGTGTGCTTGTCGTCGTTTCCTTCCGCGTTAACTTCAGTAACTATACCATGGTTTGAGTTGGTACCAAGGTTACCCTGATGTTGCGCTTGCTTTTGGCTATGATGACTCGGGTTATCGTTACCGCTTGAATTTATTCCGTTGGCAGCATTGTTGCTATCCCAAAGACAGTCGTTGAGCCTCTTGATGAACGGCTGTCCCTCAAAGAAGCGGCTGACCTCGCCGACTCGATCTAATCCAGGCTCGCGCGGGCCGCTCGACTCGCGCTCCACGTACAGGAGGTCCTGCTCGCTTTCGGTCATTGCATCAGCAGCATGCCGACCTCCATATTGTTTTATTTTCATTGCACTAAAACCTACTTCAAACTCGTCCGAATCATAAACAAAGTCCTGCTCGTCCTCGTTTAGTAATCGCGAGTGCTCGGAGTCGACAGAGTCTTCCGTACGCCGAGAACTTCGTGAACTTCTTGAGCTTCGACCATCCCTCGATTCTTCATCAATGTCACAGCCGAAGTCACTTTCTCCTGCCATGGCCAGCATTGAGCTAGCCTCAGAACGAACCTCGTCGTCCCATAGGCCTGCTAGCGATTCGGCATGCGAATCCATCTCGGAACTCATCAGTGGCGCACTCGAGTCGCAAGATGACTGCTGAGCTCGCCGCAGAAGCTTCGAGGGACGCATTGAAGACGTTGCGACGGGTGCCACTGGCAATGACGTTTGCCTACATGTAATACGCAAAAAGTTATGTTAGTTGAACTGACGTTGACATAATGTTAGTTAAAATGAACACAGATCCGTTGCACATTGTTATTCAATGTCTGCTTCTGGTCGCGGTATTTGATGTGCTTCAAGCGCTGCAGGAACAGTAGCGTAAAGGCTAGCAAAGGCCCTATTTAGTCTCCTTGAAGCCCGCAGATGATTCGATTAAAGAATTCGTGAAACACGCTGAATTGCGTAGACATCAAACAATATTATGAAATCCAAGCTAGAATGAAAATAATTTGATAGGCGCATGACAAGTGTGTTCTTTTAAATATCTAGGCACAAAAGCCATCAGCTAAGTAGATTTGAGAATTTCATAGCTTTGTAGACATACTTACCGGAATAAAGGCGTGCTAACTCGTTCATCCTCATCCACACGTGACGACAAAGCCGAACTTTTCAAACTAGCAGAGCGCGACGACCTCGAAGCTGGAGGACTAAACGAGGCAAACGCCATCATTCCTTGAAGGGGACTGTGCCCCAGCAAGTGGCTCTTAGCCCCGTGGCTTCCCAAACTGCTCCGGTGATTCGCGAATCCGAACCGATGTGGAGACGCTCGTGCGTGGATACGCATTGAACCTTCATCGTACGTTGCGTCGTTGACATTTGATTTTGTCGGACTGATCGGGCTGAGTTTTACTACCTCGGCCTGACGAGGTTGATCACGACCGTTGTTGCCAGCTGCACCTGCACTACCTGTTTCCCATGTGCCGAGGTTGCCGGTTTGCTTTGAGCACTTATATTGAGATCCGACTAAGAATTGGAGAAGAGTATATATATAAACGTTAAAAGACTGACCATTATCCACAAGGAAAGCATCGCCAAAAAACAGCAGGCTATATAATACTCGAACCTTTGAAGAGTATATGATGGATCATTTTCTTGACTTTTAATGACGATTCCTTAGATCGTATATGATTTCCAATGTGTAATAACTTAAGGAACAGCCAGGTACGAGTGAAATATCTTCAAATATATGACGCGTGTGACTTGAAGACTGCAAATGTGGTGCCTAGTTTTTACAGCAACAATCGTTCCATACACGTAAAGGCTGCATTATAATGTTTGGTTAACGTACTGCGTTATAAAGCCATTTGCTCTACTCATGTTTATAATGCCAGAAAGATTAGAGCTTTATACGCTCGCCATGCAAGGTCAGCAATTGCACCAAGCGAATAGTACCACTAGGTGTTAAAATGTTACGAGCACTAGAAGTTGTGACTACGAACAAGAGTCCAATGTGTCTTCAATGAAGGCAATCTATGAATGAAACTAAGGACATTCGTAATGCATTCTATTTACTTGTAGGTCCATATGCATTCTAAGGTCAACGATAGATTCATTGGATAATCATGCAATCGGTGAGAATTAACCATGAGGTGCAAAATTGAGTTCCAATCAAAATTGAGATCCAAATTGAGACAGACTAACACGGTCAGGAATTGTACGAAATTGCAGGAGCCATTTGATTTGAACTAAACGCCACCACAAATACCCCCTCAATAATCCTCCTCTAGTTGATATACTAGTTTATGTTCTATATTTGCAAGTCCTTCCCACATTACCCGTTTATGTAAGCTTATTACTTTCATGGTACTTGAAGAACTGCATCAATTAGGTAAATCCACAATGATTTCTTTCCTCGTCTTTGTCTCTACTATCTTTAAACCTTAAGGAAAAAGCTTTTCAACCCTCTAACATCATTGTAAATTAAGCCGTGAACAGTAATGAGCCTAGATTAGCTAAAACGGAAGCATTCAAGTTCAACAGTTCCTACCCTGTCCAAACACAGGTCATCTGTATGGAAATATGCCGATGGTGAGGGTGCGAAATAATATAATGTAGATCGATAGAGAAGTGGAGCCGACAACATTCCGTCGTATCAATGGAAATGCCTTTCAATAATAGATTGAGGCTCCAATTGGAAAATACTAAAACGGCAGTAATTGCTAATTCATTTCAATCAGGCAAAGGTTTTCAGATATAACAGAACACTCACAGCTATCGTTGTTAGTCAACGGTGGATATGTGTGATTATCTGACGACTTCTTCGAGTTGTTCCTGCTTGCACCGCTGGGGCTGCTATTTGGCATGTTTTGGGTCGGGGAAATCGGGGATAGCTGTTTCGGGGAGGCTGATACGTGGGAACAGTAATAAGATCGTTGACCCAGAGGGTCGTTTAGAGGAGCCGAATTTTTGCCGTCCACCTCGTCCAGCCGCTCAAGTATTCGATCTAAGTCGGCCGATGCGGAACGCGGTGCAGAGACCTCACTAACAGCAGCCTCGACAAATGCCTCATTAGTTGTGGGGGACAATTTTAACGGCCTCCTAATTACTGCTTGGCCGGTCTGATAGCAGCTTCCGCCAGTCGTTACAGAAACAGCGGTTAAGCAGGCATCTTTGCGGACGCTTTGTTTCTGGCTCTGACCCAAACTACGGCAAGCTTGCCCCGAGTTCTGGGTCGCAGTCTTGTTGATTTCAGAGTAGACCCAACATAGCGCGGAAGGACTCTCGCAGAGAAATTCACTTGACGAAGCATCGCCACTCTCCGAACTGCAAGCGGGTTTTATGTCATCGACCAATGACAGCAAGCAATCACGTTAGACAAGAAAAAATTAAAGATCCAACATCAACCTTATTTACTAACAGTTTGTTTGTCATCTTCTTCGCCTTTATAGATAAGGTCGTTGGAGCTTTATTTCACTTTGAGCACACATAGATTGTACTAGCATCATACAAGATATATACGAACTTAATCGAAAATTATATATACGGGACGTTATCTCAATGGTTACCGAACACACTTTTTCTAAATAGAAAGCATTCATTTGAGGATTCTTAAGAAATTTGCTTAAAATAAGGTCGAAGGGAACACTTTAGGCTGCATGACAACTACTAGGGTGTTTATATTAGCACAAGTCGTCCAATATATCAGCCGTCTACTTAAGGACTTACTATTTAGGCTGCACTAAACTGTCAATCGGCCGGGCTACAAGATGTTTAAAAACATACTAATTGTATCAACAACAAACATTTTCTTCTAATAAACGTAAACAGCTTATTACTATCCAATGCTACACTGGAATTGTCGTTCATATAACTATATTCCATATTACTTAAAACTTAAACTTATATATATTAAAGCAAAATCAATATCATGCTATAATAACCGATTAGATGTGCCCATAATCAATTAGTCAATCCAGCCTTAAACAATAAATATCGACGGTGATGACGACAAAGGCTCGATACAACACTTTGATCATTCTTGTTTGTTGCGACTGACACAGAAGATACTACAACCACTAGTCAGCATCCATTTTCACCACTGAAATATAATTATTAGTGGGAAGGATATCGGACGACAGAAAAGGCTAGAAACGCACCGAATGTCCCTTCCGTCATGCGAGTCCACGGATTCACAGCTGCCGCAATGATCGCGGTTCGTGCATTGATCTATCGACACCGCTGGGCTGGGGGGGTTTGTTGTCAAGTCTGTTACTGGAATCCCGGCTGCCACACTTGTTGTCGGCCCATTGAAAGAAATTGAGGTTTCGCTGGCGCATCTCCCCTTTGGCCGTTCCTGTTCCTGCGCTTCGATACTTTCACTGCCAATGCTACTACTGTTACTTGTACCTCCTGTGGCGCATCCTTCACTTGTATCAGCACTTTGATTTAATAATTGGTGCGGCTGCTGTTGTGGAGCTAGGTCGACGGGTAGACTCTTGGCAAAGAACGATTTCGGAGGGGTGGATGCAGCTTTGCATGGCGAAGTTGCGATGATCGGCGCGGGAGCCGCGTACGATGGTCCTAAGAGCAGGCGAAGTAGATTGAGGAGAATTGTGAAAGGAAGTGCAGCATAATCTATTTGAGTCGAAAACAAGTTGTAGTCATAACTTTAATGTAAAATAATAATGATAATAATGCGTTTATAAGTACCTTGTTCTTCATCGGAGTCGGCATCTTCATCCACAATAGTCTGTAACGCAAAGCTCTCTCGTTTAATCTTAAGCGGGTTTACCGGTAGAAGTTCGCCAGGTTCGTATGGACTAGTGGTCCCCCACAGAAAGTTAGGTATATGGAGCTGCTGACCCATGTGAGCTCGTTCAACAGAAGCTTCGTCCGAAGACGAGCCTTGATCTGAGGACGCGTTCAACTGATCTGAACGTTGATTAGTTCCAATTTCACCTGCGCAACCAAAATGTACAAGAAAACTGCGTTTTACCAAATCCCGCCTATAGAAATACATATGATAAACATATCACAAAAAATACAAAGATACATAGTAATTCCCTTTATATAGTTCGAGTTTTATGACTTTCATCAAAATTCTGTAACAGCTAGGTCATAGGAATGCTCGTTGAAACATACCATCTGTATGTACTTACAATACACAGATGAGTAATGTGGTTCCGTTGGATCAGAATACTGGTTAACCATCTCACCAGGTTGAAGTTTGCTTAGAAGGAAATACGTAGTCATGTCCCCCTTTCCTTTAACTTTAACTGTTCCTCGGCATTGAAATCGGTATTGATCCTTAAGCAGCTGGTAAACATCCTCGGTGATTTGGCAGTGATCCGCCTTACCAGTGGACTCCATCCGTGAAGCGACGTTTACAGTATTACCCCATATATCATACTGGGGTTTTCTCGCCCCAATAACACCGGCAACCACTGGACCCAGGTTAATGCCGACACGAAGCAAAAAATTGTTGTACGAGTTTTCGTTGATATCGCGAAGTCGTTCCTTCATCGCGAAAAACAGATCAGCCAGGATGGCCAGGTACGTTGACGCCGAATCCACTGTGTCCTGTTAAAAGGGAGGGAAACGTTCAAATAGAACAAAAACTGAGATTCCTACCTTCGAGCGGATCTTTGACCCTACAATGTATGTACGTTCCAATCCGACCGATTGAAACGACAGTAACAGTGAACCCGATGTGCTATTTTATAGGTAATTATATCGGCATTCACTATGGATATTTATCGCTCAAATATAGCTCAGAACAAAAATCTGCATTATAGGATTCCAGCATACATATATTTTGTAATTCCGTGTTCCCAATGCATCCAAATCTGAAATACTGAGTCTCCTATAATGTGTAACCAAAGAGCCACACAGTCATATCTTCATTTGCGTCGATAAACGCGGAAGATTTTGGGGGACTGAGAATGTAGTATAGTGTAACCAGAAAGGATAATCCGCTTGACCGCAAAAGGCAGTAAAATAGCTCGGCTAAGCGTAGCCTGAAGATTAGCTTAAGGTTGTCGAGTGGCAAAAAAACCCCATTGGATCTATTTTCGCCCGAAGGCGAGAGAAAACAGACTCGATCGACGTCTAGTGCTCGTTAACTTCATTTGGTTAAATGGGATCTAATATATATAATTAAAAAGTTAAACCGTCTCACTGTATCAGGCTGAATTTATTCTAAGGAACAAACGAAATGGCGAACTCGTTAGAAAGGTAGCACATGGTTATTTATGCGTGAGTGTCTCGAGCACCGATCTGAAGCGCCCGGAGCTCTTCTTTCTCATATAAGCACCATGACGGAACGCATTGAAAGATGCACTTTAATTAGAAAGAATAGACACGTTCTTGCATAACGAACATTGATCTAGCAAATACGATTTAGCAGAAGCACACGATTCCCAGCGTGTATGGAAGCAAAGGCGAAACTGGTTATAAGGGAAGTCCGTGCTTAATAATGCAGTGCATAGTCGTCAACCAATACCGTTGTACTGAACATTGTCTTCTTTCCCTTTGAAATTCTTGTTGCCTACGGATACTGTACCTAAAATAACTGTTTGCGACTCCAATTGAAAAACAGAGACCTAGTCAATGTCACAAAGTGAATTTAATCTACTCCTGTAGCCGTAGAGCGCATGCAAAAAGGGCACATCTCTTTCTATTCAGAACATCCATGAAGCCGAACTAAATTTTATAGACCGTCTATGTGTAGAAATGACGATCGTGGATGCCTAATGGACGGACACGATCTATAGTTTGTCACCTAAAGATATCGAGTTTTGTATCTACATATGTAAATGAAAATGTAATTTTATGTAACAATACCATAAATATATGATGATTTTGAACTGACCAGTATACGGTACTCGGGCATAAGACCAACTGCGCACATATACGTCGCTCCGATGGTTTTGATTTTATCCACCGACTGAAACTTGTCCTCGTCTAACAACTGATCAAACTCTGCGATAATCTCATTAAGCAGGCGGAGACACTCGACGCCTTGCTGATTGCCGTCCAACTCCATGTAGAATTCGGCGAAGTTCGGGATAGAAGCAAACATCACCCCGACGCGAGCATAATATTGATGGTAAAGTTCCTGTGAAGTGGGTTAATACATGCAAGGAACAGACCCGAATAACTGAGAAATAAAACTAAAAAATTAGAAGAGAAAGAAGGGTGCCAGCAATGAAAGCTTCCTCACATTGTATTTGATGTCGGTGTTTCATCGAGTTGTTCATGGCCATGTTAGCTATTCTTACCTGAATGTACGTCAATTAAGTAGCTTTTCTCTGTTAATTGCCCTGGCTTCAATCAAGGATCTGAACAAAACATAATGGCCCCCACCCGCTACCAATACGTGTCATGAAGTGGACATTCGATTAAAGTGCCCTTTAATGCACTCAATATATAATACATAGACGTATCAGGAGGCCTATTATCCAGGTGCTGGTCTTTCATGGTACTACATGGTCGTCTCAGATAGTGTGCAACGTAGATGTAGGTACAACGATTTAACCGCCATAATAACTTACTCCTTTACACGAGGCTATAAAACTATGAATTCCGTGCGCGGAAAAATCCATAATCATATAAAAACAAGCTATGGGTCGATTTGGTGATAACGCCATTAGTCACTGCCTTTCGTAGAACCATGCTTCTAGCGGTAGAAGCGCAGGCAAGCATCCACAGGTACATATGCTTCTCCTGGCCACGCTCATACGTGATGGATTATTCGGATGTACCCAGATGGCCCTCTTCCGCTTTGAAGTGTACGAGGCTTTTTAGCAACAGATATATATATAAGATAAAAAGATCGGTATCTTCTTACACACTACTGACGACTGTAATAACATTGCTGCCATTGCAACATCGTGATGCCTTTCGAAATAGATATAGCTAATGGATAACATTGCTCGTATTAGTTTATGGCGATTATATAACAATTGAATAAACAAGCTATTAAAATAGAACAGGACGACAAACCATATTGTTGGTGTTCTGATTGCACAGAAAGTGCACGGCAACGTGCGCTGGCAGGAGATTAAAAAGGATTCTCCGATTCCCTTCCTTCAATTCGTGCATTTCTCGTTTTTCGTCATTCGCTTGAGAATTCCAAAGGAAGTCAAGACGAGCTGTCCACTCGACCTAAATTAGACGCGGGAATCAGAAACTGTAGCTGAGGTCTGCATTGCCGTATCTGCGGACTACATGATTCTATTATCAGCTTTACGATATTTCAACAACACGCGAGTATCGGCTCTCTATTGAAAATTGTCGCATTTCAACCCACTTACAAATGGGGGGCCGATAAGCCGAAAAAAGCACATAAAATGACTTGGAACGGTGTCGAAGTATACATACCTGCCTTGCGTGTATCAGCAAAGCCAGCCAAATTGCCAGGATGGCCAGGATACCCATTACGCTTAATGGGATAAGTGGGCTAAACAAAAAGACAGTAATTTTAAGTACGTACATTCTAATTTAACCCACAGTCCCGCCAGAGCTTGTTATCGACTGTAGTCGGTTCAACATCTAAATTGTGGACATTAACGAAAGCACTGATCGACATGTAGCAGATCTAACTACACTTAGTCCTAGAGGTCTTTATTTCAATCAGGTTTTGTAACAAAGGTCACACTGTTAGATCGTGAGAAGGGGCAAAAGGTAACTGGCGATGACCTACCGAGTAAGGTTGTCGTAACACACAAATAACGAACGGTGTGTCATCTCGATGATAGAAGTAAACATGGCCGCAATAAGTGTGGCTAAAATTACTTTCACGAAAATTGGCGTTCGTAAGAATACGCCAACGGATAGTAGGCACAGCATTGCTGACAATGGGATGTACTGTGGTAGAGGGCAAACCCTGAAAGTAACGAAGTTCAGGATATATGTTATTATCCATTGACGTATCTATAAAGTAGTAGAGCTGATCTCTTCTACTACATCTTGCCAACCAAGCTTCATCCACTTAGAGGGCTAGCAGTTCTAAATGTACGTGCATTAATCAGTAACAGATCTTCAAAATCAAAACTTGCGTTTCATATTATCTTCAAAATCTGTGCACTACGAAACCGCGTCAACAGGTTAATTCGCGGATGGGATCATGCGCATTGTACCATTCATAACACAACTACCCTACGTAAGAATCAAGTATTTTCGATAGATCAAGAGGAGTTAGTTAGACTGGGAAACACCAGAATGGTAGTCCTAGCCAAGATAATCCACGTACAACACGATCACAACTGCTAATTTCCCTTGTTGGTTAGGCAAAGCTCACCTGTGACTGTCTCGGTGCTGAAGGAGTGGACTGCTCAGAGTTCCGTTGTATCGTGCAATTTCACAGCCCTCGCTATCGGTGTAGCATGTTAGCTGCAACAGAGAAATAGGCTTTTATCGTCATTTCGTAAGCATGCAAAAGGACAAAGCTAACAGCGCACGAATGGTGGTCAGGCAAAAGTGGTCGAAACTGAAGAAGACGTAGTCGAACGATAGGAGAACGTACCACATTGATTTGTACGGTCATGTAGACTAGAACAACGGAGATAATAGAGGAAACGATGCGCGCTACAGAGTAGCGGGTGACGTTAAACGAAAGACATCCGAGACGGGCTGAAAACACCAAGATGAGAAGAAGGCAGAGCCAGAAGATGCTTCCGATCGACATCAATAGCAACAGCGTCGTTCTGGAGAGGTAGAAAATCAATAACAGTAGAGGTAACTAGAACAAACATACGTATGGTAACTTGACAGTCTACGAATTAGATGAACATGTTGAAACACGATAGCAACCGTAACATGGTAAAGTTGTATGCGACATAGATTTAATGCACGCGTAGGTCTTGAACATACTTGAGCATTTTAATAAGTTTATAGGGATTACTAAAAATACATAGAACGTGCACGCTCAACCCTTGTTGTAATCGTTCCGCCTGCACACATATAGGAAGCCACACAGATTGAAGCTTTTGCCAGGTTTTGAACGATCCTTGCATATATTGCCTGTGCTACAATGAATGTCTAAAATTTTATGTCTTTGATGTTGCTTCGGGCGGTTGACCTTATCTAACACTAAACATAGTGTTGCCAGACCCAGTTTCGAACCCAGACCAATGCACGTATCAATGCGTTAAAAGGAAACGTGTTACCACTGCACCATTACAGGAACAAGCATGCTGCATGTACTATGCAAATTTTAGAATCGTAATCGTCCTGTGTGATGATAATAACCCACCCCGCTGAGCAAAATTCATGAGTTGCTTCGTAAGTGCCTTTGCGGCTTCATCGACACCTGAACATTCATCTGCTCGCTTTCTACCTGTTCCTTATAGCCAATGGCGGTCTACTAAAACCAAAATATGCATCTTGCTACAGAGGCTGGTTACATAAGCAAAATACATGTACAAGTTTGTCGCCGCCTATTAGTGCAATCTTCTTCATCCCTCACATGTATCTGGCGCCTAAATTTTTTCAGTCGGATATAAAGCTATAACCACAAAACAGCCTGCATCCACTGTCTCGAAGCCACAAAATCACGCTACAGGTATGAGGCCGTAACGCGCAACCATGCCTGATTTGTCATGCATTATGACTGTATTCACCGACAACGCACGAGCGGCCGAAGCTTAGCGATGTTACAAGTTGTCGTCGCCATCGATGATGGCTCTACTGAGCACATTCGCTTCCTTCACCAGTGCGCCCTTCTGCTCATTCCGTTTTCAGTTCAATTCTGCTCACTGCATCAAGGAATTGTTGCACCCAAGCCTGAAAGATGTCTCAAACGCCCTTCGGCGCTCTTAGGTATGTTCTCGAACAGCGGTGTTCTCCGCGATGGACTTTTCACCAATCTGGCCGGTCCCATACAATTTTTGGCGCATCCGGTACACTCCACGTTTGTGTCCAAATATCGCCATCTGTCAGCCCCCTACCTTATCCTCGTTTGCATCACACGTTTTTCTAGCCACTATCGTGAACGTTGAAAACTTAGCTTCGTTATGGATAACGCCCAATGATTATCGTAGCTGCTGTTATAGTTGCGCTTGCCGTTCGCCTGCAATGTGCTATGTAAATCACTACCGCACAAGTTTTCGTGCTCATTTCAAATGCCCAGTGAGCTCAGAAAACTCAGAAACACTTTTGAAACCAGCGAAATGATTGTAGGAAATAGGTGGTGTCCTCTTGGCCGAAACTACCCACTACCGAAGCGAATTGTTGCCAATAGAAGGAGAAAACAGACAAATAGAATGACGTAGAGGAAGAAAATGAGGACTGCAGGCCACAATGAAGCTAAGACGAGCACATTCGAGCATTCAAAGGCAGTAAAGAAACATGTCCAATGCATTTAAGTTTTCCAAAAAAAGGACCCAGGTAGTGTCTTTTGCTTAACAACACGACGCTATCATTTTCGCAAGTCAGGAAAGTTGGCAAGGAGATATTAGGGAGTACGAGTACACGACATGTATCATACAAGCATCAAAGGATGTCTAACCATAATTCAATATGACGATTTTGTTCAACCATTTTTTAAATACGTGAACAGTTTGTTCGATAGTGCAACTCATCTGTATTTTTTGCGATGACACATATTCCAACAAGAGAAAACGGTGTGAGTACAAATGGCAAGGTATTATATACTATGTTAAAACAAAAAAATCCACTAATCTGAGGTGACAGTAGAGGGTACCACTCAGTAAAAAATTATAATAAAAAAAAACAAATTTTTTAAATAAAAATCCGATTTATGCCGACTCCGTACGCAGCAGTCTAGATTCTGAGCGTAGATGGGGTAGCCTAATAGAGAAACCATACAGTTTGTTGATGGGGCAGCTATTCGCGAGTACAAACCTATGCGGAATCGATTTCATCTGAAGCGATATATATCTGTGAAACTTCATACTTGCCTCAACTCTAGAGAGGCTACAAAAAATAACATTAACACTTTTTAGTTTCTTTTAAGGTGTCATCTATTTAGCAATTATTTTATTTCCGCTGCTCATAACCAACATGTGACAACCTGGTACTTCAGTATATGTTGTCGCAGCTCTACTAGTGCCACAAGGTTCCTGAAACATTATATATATATATATATATATATATATATATATATATTATAAATGGCTAAGTTCTCGTACAGCTGAAAAGTTACAGATGCACGTTCCGCAGGCACAACTAACTTTGGCGGTGATCTGTCCATTATCATATTTGTGGCCTATTTATCACGCTTATTTTTTAACAGGTTCACTGTTACTTTTGTGGAATAGACGTAATCGTATGCTGTGGCATAACTCTGTAACCCACCTGGGAAGTATGATTAGGTGGAGCGCAGATAGGAAGATTGAAATGAACAGGGCACAAGCCAGGCTGCTCACAAAACCCAAGTCACGTTCTTGATGATACTGTAATAATTACGTACCATAAGATTAGCCAAGAGATCTAAATTTAGCAACATCAATCCATTCATATCTACCCTCGTGGACACATGAACGGTATTCTATCAGTCTGTTTATACGCATGACTTCATAAATAAATTATTGCTATTCCAGCCTCTCCAGAGGCAGAAGTCTTCTATACATCCTTTCGTTGCGGAAAGTCGTCCATCGCTGTTTTTATGAAGGTTCTATTATATTTAGTATTTCACTTTTAGCTCATCTGCGAGACGTTTCTAGGGGAGTAGATGTGAATTTGTAACAAGCCTTTCCATACACACATATAGCTATACAGCGAGCTCAGAACTAATCGTTACATTAATAAATGATTGATAAGCGATCCAAATACTCCGGTTTTTCCAATATTTTTCCTAAGTAGAACTATCTACTTCTGGAACTACAAAACGTCACGGATCATGCAGAGGTCCTATGGTTAATGATGCTACACATAACTTATGCATAAAAACACATAAATATCGCACACAATTTTCTGTCGTGCTCTCCTGCTAGAGCAGCTAGCAGCGAACGAAACACAAACGAAGCATTGCTGACCTTTGCAGAATATCACCACGAGAAAAATTCGTAGGTGTCGCATTGAAAAGTCTGTGTAGTAGACACTACTGTCTCCCGGATCGACTGACTGACTAATGGCTAAATTTGGCAAAACAACAATTTGGGACGCTTACTCTTCGTTCTTTTTCGTCGTCCTTGAAGCACAACGTTAATAGGTTAACGTGGTTAGATTTCTCCTGATCGACGGACCTTGCGTCGATAGCCTGCGAGAGGTACTTATTCACCCGATTTGACGGCTGATGGTACGTCTCTGAATGCCTGCGGAGCATAATTATAGATACTTGTTTATGAATGACTTTTATCAGCATCGGCGCGGCCGCCGCCGCCGCCGTCGTCGTAGAGTCAATACGGCAACAGTACCGCAAGTGAAACATTTTCCGTGTGTTCGACAGTCTCAATTCGAGCAAAAAAACTGACTATTCATTGCGTGATCAAGCTATTCTAGAGTACATACGACGGGACATGCTAAACAGATGCCCACATGTGGGCTACAGCAGCATCTTTTGTAAAACAACCTCTCAAAACGATAGACAACGCCTTTGCTTGTTTTTCTGTCCCGGTAGTAGTGGTGTCAAAAGATGTAGTTGCTATACCTTTTCTTGAAGGGCTTCCTGATTTTGTCCATTTTTCCCTGAAGTTACGAAAAACTACATTATTATTAGAATATAGATGATTTATTATTATTATTTAAATATTGATCATGCTAATCCACTATCCGTTTTCGATGTTGTCCTTGTTGCCTTCGATAGGTCTAGTTTGCAAAAAAGCGTGTATCTGGGAAATGTGGGCCTGCAGTAAGATAAGTTGGGTGTTTCATAACTAGACTATACTTAGTACCATATTTATTTTGGAATAATCGAATGAAATTAAACCTCGAAACAAATGCGTAAGAATGTTTATTAGACGCTTAGGGGCAAAGCGATACGTGAACAGCACTGGAATACTCATATAATTTTCAAAGTATAGCAAAGCTCAGATTATATTTCTAAATATACGGTTCGGTCCCGGGCATCCATGGGCAGCTCCGTTATCTTGAACGACTACAATGATACTCCTAATATGTACGTATGCTTGTTCTATTCTTCCCACTAATTGAATGGTTAGAAATTGATTTAGCGCATCGAGAGGCAAACGAGGGTTGTTTTGTTTTTAGCGAAACGGTACTATTCAATAACATCACACTTTACGCTCTCAATAGCTGCCAATATGTTAATTTTCTAAAAGTTCAACAACTATCGCAATATGAGAATAGAGTACTAACTGTTATATCCGAGATATGGTATATGTGTTTAAAGCGATTATTTTCTTTTCAAGCTCAATACTAGCCGTATATTTCTAACGCAAATCAGTGGGAGCACGATATTCCCGATGCAGATATGGCCACTATTTCGGGAAAAACATGTCCGTCAGACACGACACTCTCAGCCGAATCGAAGATGACACGCTGCCCGATACAAGGAACCTTTCCCCATGAGACACAGGAAAATAGTACCACATCAGTTATAAGCAATATAACTAATATAGCATCGAAAAAATACACTGCTCAATCGGGTCGATGTATCCGATGCGTGACTAGCTAATGCCGATGTTGAAGCTCGAAAACTTTTAGTTCACACCCCATATATATTCACATAATAAATAAGCGTACTTTACAGATACGGCCTACTTACCTAATAATAATAATAATAATAATAATAATGCGCTTTCCGTGACAACAACACATACTGTACTTATTTCAAACGTTCCATGAATCCAGGTAATGAAAATAATGATTTTAATCAGACATAATAATCGTATAAACAAAGCCTCTCACGTAAAACTCGTTCAAAGACCATCATTATCGTCACAGTGATTATTATTATTATCAGTCTATCATATTATACGATTCCACGGTAGGTCGTGTCAACTATGTGAGGGCATGTGTGTCTCAAAAGCCTCCGTGCAGAAACTCGTGTGGAGCTACCAACCTTTTTGTTGTTGTTGGTCGCTCCGGCCTTGTCGACGGCCATCAATGGGTTGAGTCGTGCAGCCAAACAGACGACCCTGTCACTATTATTGTTATCCTAGAGACACCAAAATAAGAAACGTTATTAGGCATCTGCTTTTGCCAATTATCTTTAGCACCGGTATCTGTTTTTCGTGAAGAGACGCACTTTTCCGTGAGGCACTTCAATGTATCAAAAAACTTAGATGTATACACGGCGAGCTTACAGGCCAATATCCCGTGAAACCGACAACATGTCGTAGGTGCGAAAGATTCGTTCTCTATTTGTTGACTCCAACTTTCGTTTTGTAAGTGGCGCTAATGCACAGTTTTTTTCCCTAGACTCTGATAGTCGACAAATATACAGAGAAATATACGGATATTGCGTGCAGACTTTGTCCTCCAATCGTTTCCAGATGAGGCAGAAGTCTATGTTGTCTGTTACAGTGAGAACATCAGTATGTCAAGTGAAGCTTACTTGCTGAAGGGAGTTGGGGTGGTTCCGCTGCGCGTTTTGTGATCCGGGATGCTGCTGCTGTTGAGACGGGGGCGGTCCATTGAGATTAGAGAAGGGAACATCCACACTAAAGCGGATCGAGTGCAGTAACTGGACCACCACGTTCGAAACGTTCTTGAATGAGAGCTTCCGTCCTGTCATCCGCCGCATCTGAAAAATAAACAATAAGTACAAGAACGAACAAAAGCATCTTTATCTATGGCGGCGACAGTAACAGATCAAAATCAACGTATTCTTTTTATTTCCTGGGTACGGTTATTAAAAAAAAGTGCCCTTTACCCTACCTAAATTTATACACGCTTTAAACTGCGATAAAACATGTTAGCTACCATAACAATACAGGGTATCAATACGATCCGACTGAATAGGCTCACGTACAAATAGAACTTTCAGCGCATATAATCGCTTCTATACAATCAAGGCCTAATTGCTGATCTTATTTATACAAAAGAGCTTTCTTACTGGCTCATCATATTAAAGGACATAATGTGTACAGACTTATTTCTAACTACCATTACCAGCATTATATATATATATATATATATATATATATATATAGACAGAGAAAGAGAGATTAAGTGAACGGGATATTAGTTCGGAAGAAGCATTTTTTATTACACATCTGTATTAGTACATATGTCGACAAGGAAGATTGATTGTCAGTATAAAGGGTTTACTACTTCAATCGGTTTTACACTGCACGGAGCTAATGTTTGGCCTGCAAAGGGCTACAACAGAATCAACTAGTTTGTCTTCTCTGATTTGTTTCCAATACACTGCAAGCAGAAGCTAGACGTTAACGAATAGCCGACTTCAAGCCAATAACCCTTTTAGGACAGATTTTCGTCATCTCGTAGTCAGACAGTGGCTACGTACGACTGGCTTTACTATAAAAAAAGGTACCGGTGCACGATGGGCCTAGTGCCAAATTGAGGACGTCTTGGATTTCTTTCCAATATCTACATTTTCCAATTTAGCTTAGCCAAATTATTCTAGCCAACCTCCAGTTCGAGGTCATTGAGTCTGTGAACTTGGTCCTCTGAAACAACTACCTACTTTTCCTAAAACATTTGTGATGTAAAGGATTCCTCCAATGGAAAAGAATAAAAGAAGGACTCGAAAGGTCTTTCCAGAAAGCACCTAATAGCAAAGGAACTGTGCCACTCGACGGCACAGAGGAATACGTCCTAGTCGCCCACTAAATTGACTCCGATAACACGAAAGTAGTTTGATTCTATTAAGACGAGGGAGTTGCTGTAACTCTCTGATAACCTGACCAATCTGCAGCTTATGCTGCCAACAGAAAATCTGAGCTATATAAGGCTGCAGGACTCTAGGGCCTAAATGCAGGTCCAAACGCTTCCGTTTCTCTAGGCACCGTCTCCATAAGGGATTATTCAGGACGAAATACAACTAAACTTTTCACAGTATTGTAGCTACCTTGTACCTTGAGAGACTATCTGTGTGTGGAACCAATGGTTTTTCTTAAACTTATGTCATCATCGACTGAAGAATAGGGGCAGTTGGAACACAAGGGTACCTTGACTTCGTGGCCTACCTTAGCTGATTTTACTATAGCGTGTACAAGTTCTTAAGAGTCTGGTACAGTACATGTAAAGAAACAATTTTAAGTGATTACCGCTTAATTTTAGTTTTACTAAAATCGCATCGAAGCTAGACGAAGCATATACCTGAATTGAGTTAAAGATGACTTTTTTGCGACGGTTTGGGGGCGGAATAATGAAATAGGTTGTAATGCCGTGGTCACGCAAGTACGCGCTCCGGTCTTCGCCCTTGCCTGGTTCCACTTGGAAATCATTATTCAAGTACTTGAGGGTCGCGGCCGTCACATGCACCCGGCTGAAACAGTATGATCAGCATACCATGTGCCATCAACATTATACTTAAATCGCCCTTCCATTCCGCTTATTTCAATACTAACATATATAAAAATATGTTTGTAACTCTTTTGACATAAAAAGATGTAACTTCAACTTGCCAACGATGCAGGCAAATACAGTAACAGTACTTGATAAATTATTTTACCTCTATTTATAATAATTTTGGTTAATAACTTCAACAACATTACAGCTATATTTTTGTTAGAGCGTCTCTCCATTGCCTTTCTATTATTTTATTAATTATATTTATTACATTTCAGAGGAAAACGATCCGTCAGAAAAGTTCTTGTCTTAATCATGGTGGCCTGTCATCAATACCATAGTCAGTATTCCATAATATGATACACACTCTTATTCATTTTAAGCTCAGTTGCCAACTAACGCAAATAGCGTTCCCGTATATTGATTTGCATTTCTACTTTGATCCCTCCTTGTTAAATGAATCTTATACGCGTAAGCTGAACAACCTCCACAGGGCCACAGGAAAGATCCATGTAGCTTAGGAATTGCTCGACGGGATCGCAGTAAAATCAGTGTCTGCCAAGGAATATTAATAGTTGTACAACATAAACAATAAGTTGTTTATTGTTTATTTTGTACTACTATTAATCAACAACAAAAAGAAAAGACGGGAATTTTTTCTCACCCAGGAACTCCTCCAGCCTCCATTTGATTGGCAAGAGTCACGTCATTACTCCAGACATCATACTGCCACTTGCGAAGGCCGAGTACGCCGCACAAGACCCGTCCAGTGTGAATGCCCACCCTCATATTTAGCGAGCACGCCGAAAAGTCTGCCATTAACTCTGCCACCTAAACCAGAAAAAAGGAACATAATGAAAAGTATTTCCATCATCGTTGGTAAAAGATTATGTTTCAAGTTACATGGGAATACGATCAATAAATGAATATGTGAAGGGCATGAAAACTTGCAAATCAAGGAAGTTTCATTTGTTAACTGGAAGGTTGATGCTCTCATACAGTTTCCAATATTCTAAATACGAATCTACTTTGCTTGAATTTCAGCTTAATCTTAAACGAAAAACAACAGCCAACCGTCATCAGACTACGTGCACCGTTTCTTCAAGGCTCTTTTACTGCTACGAGAACCAACGACGAAGGACAGAAACATCGTTGTATGATTTCTGTTGAATTTATACAAGACTAGTTTTTAAATCCGATTAAAATTTAGCGCAAACAAAAAACTCGTTCAATATGTAAATACAGCGTAACTCCACGTCAACTTCGAGTAGGTTTCCAATATTGGAACAGAGGAAAGCTGCGAAACTTTTTGCGTCCGCAAAGTTCCAGCCAGTTAACTTGCGCTGAAGACAGGAATAACTTCGTGTGTTACGCAAACACTATTGTGTTACCCGATAGTAGCCGGTTTACGTTCATTGTTCTTGTTGTCTATATTGGTGTCAAGCAGGTGATGTTAAAAGCAACAGCAGTCGTAGCAAATACTATATCTTTGGTGTCTCCGCAGGTGGACATGTGTTTATTTTATTTTTTATTAGCGTTTCTTTGCTCTCTTATATTACTTGCTTGGCCATAAATAAGCGGAATCACGCGAACGCATACTAAATGGCGTCGTAGCTCATTTCGGTGAACGAAGAGGCAAGCACAATCTCAAGGCACCGCAAAGCCTTGGCAGTGGAAAGGCCTTTAATAGTAGAGGTTACTTCCTTCGCCCTTTGTCTCAACAATGTAAGCCCCTCGCAAGCTGCATTGCAGACTGTTGGAAGGCTGCAAGGGAATACGCCTCTTTGGCTCCCCTGCTTTTCCGTCTTCTGATTTACCCCAGCGCTAACCGAAATACCTGTACGCCTGTCTGCTAACCAATCATCCATTTATATTTTAGTGAACTAGTATGCCTTACCTATCGGCGTTTTTCCTTCCGGTAGCCCTCTGGATATTAAATAATATCTACGCTGCTATGTTTCTTGCATTCTGTTCCGTAATTAGTTTCGTCTTCTGATGCAACAATAACTGAACAGCTGCGCACCTTAGGGCAGCGTAGACGCATAAGCCAACGATGCTATGGAATTCCTTTTCCCTATTCCCTCGCCTCCCCACATGTAAAATATGGAGGAACGGCAGTACCCATAAAATTTATTTGAAACGTACCTCCTTGATGGCGTCCACCATGTCGAGACCCATGTTGACTGCACACTGCGCGTGATCCGATCTTTCGGGCAAGCCCGATACGCAGTAATAACAGTCCCCGAGAATTTTAATACGAAGGCAATTGTTCTCCTGTTAAAGAACAAACGCAAAAACGTGAAACGAAGAAAAGAAGTATATGTAGATAGCAAAATGTTGATTAAGGAGGGCGATACATGGACCGCAACAGCTGAAACATGGTCGGAAATCAAAAAAGATTATTTACTTGAACAAAAAAAGGGGCAACGCATTACTGCAGCGGATTGTTGACGCTGTCTGACTGAATCGATATTTCCCTCAATCAGTAACTGGCGGCGACAGATGTACACACGTACGTTGTGAATGGAGGTGAACCCGGCTCGAAATTATGCGTAAGAGTGACAATTTTTCCGACACGACGTGTAGCAAATGGCGTGCTACTAGTCAAACAGATTGTCACGGAAGCTGGACAACAGAAGAAGCTACCATTGAAAGCTTATACGAATTGATTGGACAAATCCGTTCTTGGTCGTTCGACAGAGGAGCAAAGTAAAACGTAGAAGAGAACGTAATGATCAGTTCCTGTTTGTTTGTTTGTTTTTTTTTTATTTCATAAAATTAAAAACTGTGCATGTGTGATAGACACAGACCGAGAGATAAAGAAATTGACGAGAGGGGCAACACGATCGAGGCTAACGAACATAACAGGATAGTTAGTTCAGTTATTCAAATTTTGATGATGCAAAAAAGCGTACATATTAGCGCGGGGGGGGGGGGGTGAAAAGGGCCGCAAGAATTTTTACAGTCTAATAGCCAGATGACTTAAGCGCCTAAAAGAATTAAATAGTTACATAATGAGGGATGCGTTAATAACATCGTCACTATAATAACCGGGCTTTGTGTAGAGACGAAATAGTTAAGCTAAACAGAGAAGTGCATAGGTCTGAAGGAAAAAGTAAACTATTACTGAATATATAGTATAGAGGATGGATCACAAAACAGTCGTAATTTATCGTCCGAAATAAACCGACACGTGTGATCTTCGATAGAGATCTAAGGGGTTTGGGACTGGAACAGATGTATATATTGTTGTAGTCAACATATATACAAAAAAAGGGTTGTGATATGTGTCTTTCCAAACTAAGACATTTTTTTAAACCACCAAGAAACAATAGCGACTAATATAGATAAAAAAAAACTATGGCGTAAACATAATTGGCGAAACTAAGCAAAAGGAGGCATATCATTTAGACTACGAAGAAAATATAAACAGATTACAAACAGTTTGCAACCTCATTTTTCAGATTCTGTCCCTAGTCTAGATAGCCTCTACTTCTGGTCTTCGAAGGCATAATCTACGTGAAGACATTTCCAGACTGCTAATACGTGGTTAAAGTTATTGATACTGTTTCGTGAGCGTACTTAATAATGGACGCTGGTCATATTTTTACCTAAAAAAAACTTATTATGACTTATGAAGCATGTACTCACGTAGGCCAACTGATCGAATCGACCAAAGAGTTCGTTGAGCAAACGCACTAGTTCCGGAGCTGGAAGATGGGATGACAGAACTGTGAAGCCTACAATGTCAGCAAATAAAATAGATACATTTTCGTGCTTCTGAATGTAGATCTTGTGAAACTGGCCGCTGACTCGAGGGTTGACAATATCTTTCTTCATCTCGACGGCCACGTGCTGAGGTAAAACAGACAGCAACAGCCGCTCCTGAAATAGGTTAGTAAATTAGGCTTAAGCGTTTACTTGTTGACCGAGCCTGCCCCAGATGCAAAGTGGTTCGACATATTGTTTAAACCCGTCGTTTTAAATTTGTGGCACGCAGTGCGACGCGATTGATAGAAGCCGTTACTTCTTCACAAATATTAGATTAAGAAATATTCGTAAACTGTTGTTTGCAAGCATATCTGCACTGAATTAAAAAGTAGAAGGGAATATGGGTCATAAGAAACAGAATGTGAAAATTGCCGTTTGTCTGAGCCTTTTCAGGGGGGGGGGGGGGGGGTACAAAGAGTGTAAAACGGTAAGGCCGATATGATACATTTTCGGGTGTCAATACAAATGTAGCGGCATGTGCCCCCACGGTAAAGAATTATAAGATTCTAACGCGAGAAAAAACAAATCTTTTGTGTAGTAGGCCCCTAACGCGCGAACGCTTCTCACAAAGAAGTCGCTCGAGGAAGTGTCTCTGGTTTCAGTCAATCTCGACCAAAGTCGAAGGGAAAACTTCGAGCAACTGCAAAATCATACCTTTCAAAAATATCTAAGTTAACTCGAAGTAACTAACCGAGTGTTTCTCAATCAGAGATGAATCCGTTAAAGTTCAACGATCAGAACTGACTGAGATCGTCCATACTAGCTCAGGTCCACTAAGGCCTCGATAAAAGGCTGCTTGCTGAAACATTCGATATTCGGATTACTGTATTCCTATTGAAGCATGTGAAAACTGATTGGCGAGCGTGTTCGTCGTAGTGGATTGATATACAATACTTACGAGTCGTTCATTCTCATCTTCCATATCAAGTCTAGCCTGTATACAGTTGCGTGTATCAAGGAAAGCCTTCCGTTGGGCCTTTTCCATCAGGGCATGCAAAACCATCCCGACGAAATTGATGCATATCATTATCAACGCGTTGGCCAGAAGCTGAAAACACAATACGTTAAATTGTTATCGCTCCATATTATCTCTCCACTCGTATAAGGGCTGTCTAATTACTGGAGTTTGTAGTAACAACTATAGCAAGGGCAAATTTCTGCAACGGGCAGACTACTAACGGCCATTCAAATCACGAGCTTATACATTCATTTTCATAGTCAGTAGCCAAGCAGATAGATAGCAAAATGATCACTGAATGTTTCCTTTATGGGCAGCAACTCCCTTAATATCCGTAAACGACTTATTTTAAGCTTAAAGGTGTTAAACACATTACCGCTATAAACATATACCCTTCTTTATACGAATGGACATATTATTGAGTATAGTGACATTAATTACAGTTAATTGGCAAGCAACTAAAACGATGATCATAACGGGGGAGCGTTGGTTTCCTATAACAATACGCGGAAAGGTAGAGAGATGCTATCTTCTACTCGGACACGTCCTACCACATTTCACGTAGACTGCGATAGTTGCGGATAACCTGTGTGGGTAGGCAAGCTTTGGAGTTAGATTAGAGTGAACCGTACGTATCCGAGCGGAAAAACGATAGGGTTTAATGTTATAGGCTCGATGACTTTTGCCTAACGCAGCTGTTACGATCACCAGCAATTTCAACTTCGGCGACATTTCATTATTAACAAATACCCGACGATATACTTTTTTTCGACTGCTATTAAGGGTCAAAGGTCGAATATTGAGTAGATGGAAACACTACTTCTTAGAGATTTCTTACGCAAAAATATGTTCGCGCATATTCTGAGCTATTGCGTGCTTGAGTCGGCACTCGATTCAACCACTTTCAACCTTTTACGGCTAGTAGTATTTGATATTAGGCCTTCGTCATTTCTCAGTTACTTCCTCTGCTCTCACTCGCATGAATTTGGCCACCAGACGAAAACGTGCCTTTATGAGGACATTACATCTAGCAGGTTCATCTCAGCCAAGTGAATACAGTAACAATTCGAATATAGAGAACCGGCCGAACTTCGGTTGCCTTGCTGATGACCATCTCTTCAAAGTGATCTATCTGTCTCCTTCGTGTTGAACTGCCCAAATAACGTAACTATTAAACAACCTTGTCCACCCAATGCAGAGTATAGGTTAGCTCATAGGGTAGGACTCAAGTAACAGGCCGCGCGACAAAATTGTCTACCATGCAGTTCCGGTCAATAGAAAATGGTCGACAGACAAATTCATCGAATAGCTACCCGCCATGATAAAATAGCTCGAGCATATACAATGGAAGGTTTACCAAAGTCCCCTTCGTAACTTCACCAGAAGAATGTAAGCTTGTTTTCCGAGGTGCGTTATTTTTCCCACCGTTTTGGCCTTTTTGACAGCATTCGTAACTCCTGTGAAAAATTTCGCTCCAGAATACCAGTGTAGATTATTACAAAAACGACATCTTTACCTACGTACGGTTGTCTTCGAGCCGTCAAAATGAACTAAATACGCTGACCATTATTGGATTTCAGTGCAATATAATTGGTTTACTTTTAGTTTACTAGGTAAGCTTCTACGTAAAGCGTATCGTCTAAGCCGAGCTTTGCAGTTCGAGACCCCACGTACACCTTCTACGGATTATTGTCGATACCGTCGTTCGTATATTTCCAGTTATGGGTCACAAGTCACTAGTGACGCGGATTTCCCTTCTAGATATTATTTACTCCTGCCACCTTTACTATGTTGGTATTTTCAAAGAAATCATTAGTTCTCGGTATTGTACTATCTAACCTGTTATTTTGCTATCGGTTGCCGCTCCTAATATTTTCGCATTTGTCTGTTTACTGTTAGAACCGCTAGACGTTCGATGTATAATACCTTCTGTACCGGCGCCACCTATTGAGGTTCATCAAGGTGGAGCAATAACGTCTGATCGTTAGCGCTGCTTGCGTATTTGCTGTTCCACCCAGCCGGAACGCCACTGTGCACTACTATCTGGGATGAGTATCAACGTTAGGCGTCTATTCCCTAGCTGGTTAGTGTACGTCTGCAAGAGATATCAGGACCGCATATCGTCTGGCCAGCTTGCAACCTGACTGAGCTGGGCCTATCCTCCCATGCCGTAACTACATAACTACAGACTCAGAACGAGTAAGCGTATTTCGATTGAAACTACCAACGGTTGCGTTGGCGACCCACAGCATCTACATTTTGTGGGTATCAACGTCTGTACTTCGTCGGGTTGCTTGTTAGGTTGATAAAAGTGTTTAACACGCAAGAAATCAGGATGAAATTGATTTAGACGGTCGATAAAGCAGCCGTAGCAAGAGGCATATGTATACATGAAACATATAAGAAAATCGAACGCCGCAAAGCATCGGAGCTCAAGAGCGCTGCCAGAATTCAGCCGCCTAATGGCCCCTTCTATGGCTTCGGTCTATGCCAGTACGTTACGCATTGCTGCAAAAATGAATATACATGGCGTCGTTTACGTACGTTTTATAATAAACCATGCCGCGGAAAAAGGGCTTCGCTTTCAGCTAGATCTAGGCATAAAGCCTTGGAAGGTCCTTTTACAATGTACATCTTCAGATAAAGCAAACATGACCGGAGGTACACATCCGTGGATTTAACAAAGCTGGCGGAGTATAATAGCTCCGCAGCATTTGTCCTCCGAAATGAGCTAGGTTCTCTAGGTGACACGACACGCCTGAATAAAAGTTCACTCGTCATCGAAAACTAAATATACTGTCGAGTTCTTGCGTTCTATTGATGTACTATATAAGCTAAGTTGCGGTACGTAGCAACACTGGAATGAAAACGTACTACGAAGATTACAAAAAAAAGGGAGCGGGTACAATGTACGGGCATTGTTGTCAACAGAGGACAATATTAGGGTTTGCAATGTAAGCTTTTTTTTTTTATTAAATTGTTCAGATACGTTGAACGGTTAAACGTTGAAGGACATTAGGTAAAATAGAAGCGAAAAAGTTCTAGCGAAGAAAACTTGTTTCGCATGTAAAAGCGCTTAATTTTATCTAGTCTAAAGTTCCAGCCTATTTATTGTGTGACAGGAAATGTGTATTTCAGACGACGACTCTAGCCTCCCACACAGTTTGTTTAGAAATACGTTTAGTGTGATTTTTAAAAGTCTTTAAAAAAAGTGGCAGCATCACGGATGCTGTATACGTTGATGTTTTTTAGTTTAGCTTCCGACCAGATCGTTTCAAAACAGATGTAGAAAAAACTGTTCATTTAGATTTCGGAGAGCCTATTGATTAGTACGGACCAATTTGGAGTATCTTAGCGAGTGTTTAGTTCTCAGACTCGGACAACTTTTGTTTCACTTAAGAAGCTTAAGCATAAAATCAATGAAGTGATAAAACGAATTTCCTAAATACGCTACGTGTGCTGATTACAGAACGATTGTCAGTCTAACTTGAACTTATTCGAAGCACTAACTGGGATTAATATTCAACTTAATCAATTTTAGAGAAGTCTAATATCTAACGTCTAACACTTTGTGCCTTTCTACAATCATATCTATAGCATCCCTAGCCGCTAATATATGCATGGCTGCGAATAAATTCAATTTTTTTTTCGGAATACTTCCGTACAGTGATGTTTGGTCGAGCAACACTCAATTCTAATATACGACTATCCCGCTTATGCAAACTTTTAACATCCCAGATTTGTCTCTGTACGAAATGCAAAGCCATATGACAAATTTTCTGATAGTTTTTATGTAAAACATCAGTACGATACTGCGAAAAATTACTTAATAGCGTGTATTTTAATCGCTTAGTTGACGAGAAGGCAGAGCGGCCTTTTTCGGTGTTGTCTTTAATTCGACACGCTTGTTGCAAACAATTAAGTTACAATTCGGTAGCATGTAGCGATGACACGTTTCGAATAAAAAAGAAAAGATGCGAGATGCATTTTCAGCGTACATACAGCCGCTTCTCCTTTCCTTCCATGACGAATGTCTTGGAGCCACTTGCACGTACACCCCCTGTATCTGCAGGGAACACTGCAACGTGCCATTGAATAGTAAGTCTACACGTGCAGCTTTGGCATCTGTCTAGATACGCTTTCGCATCTTCCCCCAACTAGCTGAACTCGTCATCATCACCTAGAAAAAAAAACCTATAATTCGGCCTATTGATGGAGAGATTTTTGCGATTTTATCCTCTTTTTTTTCTTTGTCATCTTCTTCCTTACTTTTATGGCTTTTAATAAGGTCATAACTTGGAGACAAAGTGATGCCGTCTATCAAGTTAATATGAGCAAACGATGTTCCCCCACTATCTTGTCTTCCACCGATGGAATCCACATACAGATGCACCTATCGACGAAACGAGTGTCTTTTCATGAAGGGCTGTCAGCTTGCCGCTCACGGTGACGCAATTTTGGCCATTCGCTTGTGTCACAATTGGTGATCCTACAAAGTGGGCGACTGAATAGCCAATCCTCAGTTGCCAATGGACGTCCTGTTCTAGAATACGAAAGGTGCTCAAAAGATACTTGAATTACGCTAGAGAAAGTACCGGAACACAACACGGGCAAACGCTTCCATGTGCGACTTTATTTCAGCTTGCGTGTCCTCATACAAAGCTAATAGAAACCAATATTAAAAGCTTCAAGTATGAGAGAAGTTCGGCCCAACGACCCACTCTCGAAGCCATTTATTTTATTAATTCAATTTATGATTTGTGCTAACGCGTCTGATTAAAGCAGACCAATTAGATTTTGCGTGCAAAACTTCTGTCACTTATCTGTTTTCTCTGGATGACACCTGTTAACGCGCTTAATCACAAGACCCAACATCAACGTGCTCTCTGTGGTAACTGAACCAAATTGCCCCTGCTACTTGAAACAAAAAAAGCTATATAGATTTCTTTTTTTGGCTTTACAATATTTTACCATTTTTCCAAACACAGGGCCTCCGCCTTCAGAGAGGAAAACCGCTAAAGACAAGATTCATAATACATTTAAGTGATATGGCAGTGCAGTGTACTAAATGCAATTACCGATCTAACAAC